AAGAGGAGAGAGACGGGCGGGGGAGAGAGAGAGAGAGAAAGAGAGAGAAGCAACGGTGATGGATCGTCCAATCAGTGCCGCGAGATGGAGCACGAGAGAAACGGAGCGAAAGAGGAGGCGAGACCGGGAGAGAATCTTCTCCACCTATGGCATGGTACGCGCGGTGGACGATGAAAAAAGAGAGAGAGGAAGAGCGACAGAGAGGGAGAGGTCATGGTCGGGTCGGTCTCCTGCTAATCGAAGAACACGAGGTGGCCCTGTGCGATGCGGCGGCCGCACGAGAGAAACTCTACCTCGGCTATTCTCCACCGCCATCACCTATCGCCGGACCCGGCTATTGTGTAACTTGCTCTCGAGCAGCAACGAATTCTCTTCCGCGAGGCCGATAGTCGTGATCGAGCTTCCCCGACATCGTCCGATGAAGTCCCAATTAGCTCGTATTTCGGGCTCGCTCCGTCAATTACGAGATCGCGCCCTCCGCGCGCTATTTTCCCACCTCTCCGATTTATTTTATTCATTTTGTAGCGGCTGCCATCTCGTACGTCTCGCTGATTCGGGTACTCTCTTATTAATTCTCACCGAGCGCTGATCAAGTACGATAAAACTCGAGAGAAACGAGCTCGTCATTTCCCCGACGAAATCTGTAATTTTCTCGAGGAAACTGTCGCGTCGTAGATCGCTACGTTATCGTCCATCGACGGGTTTGTAGGTAATTATTAACGAAACGATTAATTCTTAATTCGTTACCTCGATTAAAACAGGCCGGGCGATGCTTCGAGCGAGATTAGATCCTTCATCCGAACTGTATCGATTACACGACGAAGCTACGCTCGCTTGCTCCTGGAGGAATCGCGGTGTACCGAGGAATGAGACAAACGGAACTGCGGTCGAAAGGGTTGAACCCAAGGGTCGCGAGCCGCGAGGTTGAACATCACTCAAACTACCGCGCACAATACCGGCAAGGTTGCCGGGGATTCGCGTTACGGAGGAGCTTCGTCGACGAATGTTTGCACGCGGAACGCCACGAGAGGGTCTCCGCAATGGCGTAACTCGATGTCGCAACGATGTAATCGAACGGTTATTATGTGCGTGCATGCGTACGTGTGTAAATAATAACGCGAACTTTCTTTTTTTCCCTCGTTCTCTCGCTTTACGTAACGACTTAATCGAGGAAATCGCGTCTTTTTTAATCGCAATCGTCTTGTCTCTTTTTTCCCGTGCGGTTATTCTTTCACATGTCTTTTCATATGTCCGCGTATATCGGTAACGTTGCTTCATAAAGCGCGGGATTATCGCATGAATAAATATGCGATGTGTGTTACATTGCAAACGCAACGGTCCTTTCATCGACGAAAGTTAAACACGCTCGTTGTACACTTCGCGTCTCACAGGAAGACCTTTTCAGAGTGAACGCAATGAACGCGATTTATCGACTTGGCGAATCTAAGATTTTTATCACTGATGCGAAACGAGTTTCCTATTTATAAATGGGACTGCATTCCATAATCACTCACGGTAATATCTATAATATTACTATATTTTTGCATGTTTCCAAATGATTTTAGATTTCGCTGATCGATCGTTCATGAGATTATTAAACCGAGACTGGATTAATTAATTTTGACAGCACGCAGGAAGTACATGCTACCGTCAGTCGAGGAAATGTGCCAATGTAGAGCACGGTAACGCTACTTGAGCGAGATATCCAACTTACGTTGATTTTTTCATCGCGCCGGTAGACATCCGAGACGCGCCGCCGCCGCCGTGGCGAGTTGAAAAACGATTTCCTAGCGACGACGTAGCGCGAGCTACGCCACTGTGCGTAGAGTGGCGAAAGAGAGGAAGAGAGTGGAGAGAGGGCGACTAACAATGGCCGCCAACCAAAACATCCGATAAATCTAACCGGCCCGGACCTCAAGCCCCGAGGGGTTTTAAACTCTCTCACCCCAAACGCCGACGCGGGCGCAACCCTTACATTACGTTACACTCACTCACGGAAAAGGGAGCCATGCCGTGTGCTATTGCGGGGCGATACGGGTGGCGGCGAAGGGGTGATGGCAGCGGGTGTGCACAGAACGGTGGTTCCGCGCGATGGAGACGGGGTAAAGAGGGAAGGGGAGAGGGAGAGAGAGAGAAAGAGAGACGTGATGTGCGACCTACGAAAAACCAAACTGAGAGAATTCCACCCGCTTTTCACCCGCCCGCCCTTCTTCTCCTCTTTCACTTCCGTTCCTCCCGACATCCACCGCTCGTCTAACCCGGCTAACCTCCTTCTACCGGTAAACGTAACGAGATCTCTGCTGCGCGCGAGCGGTCGTGTACCAGCCCTGACGAAATTTCGACGAATTTGTTTCCGCCACCGCATCCTAATTCGTTTTGTCCCACCCTATTCGAAACCGCGGCCGAAATTCCGGCTCGGGGAGCGAGTGTTCTGCAATTACGACGAGAGCCATACGTTACCCGAAGAGATCTCGAAAAATCGTTGCAAGAGCGAGGTCATTGATCTGTAATAAAAAAGCCGCCCTAAACCGGTTAACGTCGAGACGCGACTAAATCTCGCACTAATCGGAAGAGGACCTCGTCCACTGGATTGATAACGAAGAGGCAAACTATCAAATCGGGTGAACTATCAAATCGAGGAAGATTGGAGGACTGGCTTTCGCGATGCGCCGACGATCGTGGAAAAATCGCGATGTCGCTCGGAGCATAACGTCCTTACGAAACTCGAAATAGCGAACAAGCGACATCGGGAGGTGCCGTGCACCGTCGTCGTGCTCTTCGTAATAGACGGCGAGACGGAAATATGCAGTCAGGGAAAACGCGGAGGCACGCTAATGTCGTCGTCGACGCAGAGACTCGACTCTCGCCGCGCGACGTATCGAGAGTTAAACGACGCCTGGAATCCCGGGATTCCACGACAGTCGTACATAATCAGTCGCGTCTAGGATATTCCGCGCCCGCGAGGGCTGAGTGGCGAACCGCGTTTCCGCGTCGAAGAATGTCGATAGCTCTTAACTACGCGCGCGCCGCGCCTAAACGCATGCGAGCTTGACGTGCTGCTCTCCGAGTGCGCCGAGACAATTTATAGTTAGGGATGTGGAGAAAAGCGCATGAAGGAAGATGAAAACGGCGAGGACCGTCTTTTCTTCGAGATTACGCGTTTCTGTTTCTGCCTCGGGCGACAAAATTATTTCCCGTCAAAAGAAACAATAGCCGGCACATGGTGGTCTCTTCGTTTAACACGAAGAGCGAATTCGACGTTTCCCTTCGATCTTGGAGACATAATTAATGCTAGAACGATAGGATACGTCAGGATCGATCGCCGTCCGATATCGCGTCGCGAAATTTTGCATCGCCGACTCGCGCCTCGCCGTCGAGCATTATCTTCTTTCGTTATTCGATCGACTCGATACTCATGAACACGGAAAAAAGGATTCACGGGAGGCCGCGCGAAACGAAAGGTGGAAAGGAAGAAAAAAGAGAAAAACCCTTTTCTCCGGAGCGGCGCGCGAGCCCAAGTCCGCCCCACCTTTCTTCGGCGGATCGGCTCGAGAGGAGCGGCGTCCACGGCCCGCTCGCTTCGTGGGCGGAAGGAAGAGGTCCAGATGAGGAGAACGAGGAGGACGAGAGGCCAGAAAGAGGGACAGACAGGTCGGCCCGAGAGAGGAACCCGCGGCTGCCATGGTTACCGTCGCATTCCCGCCTCGCCTCGTTGCCATGGAGACGGCGGCACCCTGTCCCTCTCGTTCTCCTCATCGCTCTCTTCGCTCTCGCTTCCTCCCGATCCCGCTCGCACGCGGACTCGCTTACTCGTACTCGCGAAATTCCGTCCTCGTCGCTCCCGTGCGCCAATCTTCTCTCCACGACGACGGACGGCTCTCTCGCTCCGTCCGTCCTTCCTTCGCGGCGGAGGGAACACCACGGAGAGAGGGAAGTCGAAAGAGAGGAACACACGGAGGAGACAGCCCGCGGACGCATGCGCGATGCTTGGTCCTCCGCGACGCCGGCGAGGACGCGATGCCTCCCCCGGAATAGTTCGATCACTTATCAACCGCGAGTCACTCGCGACCTCGTAATGCAGTCTCGTGCGATGCTTATCTGCGGCGCCTCTCGGAGAGGCTCGACCGTTACCGCTTGATACGCGCGTGCGTACGCGACGATGAGCTGAAAGAACTGGTCTGATAAAAGGAAAGATGAGAGAAAAAGAAATTATGTCCTCTCGTAAATCGATGTTTTGCTAATTAATCATCTTTTTGAAAGATATCGTGATTGGACGTCGTTCGATCTGACTATCCACATATGTGTCTACCGATGCAACGATGGCTCGCGGTATCGCGAATTGTACGTCACAAGCACAACGCCGGGTTTAATTTGGAAATAATAAACAGAGTTTTCGACGTTACGCTCGCCGACTATCGCCAAAGCGATATATTCGCGCGCGAAGCGAACGAGACGTAAAGCGCTCCGTTTCGTAAACCGCGGTTCTGATTGGCCGTCGCGTCACTCGATATCAATATTTATTCAGCGCGGCGAATGCCCGAGGCCGATTAAAACTTGTTTATGCGGCCAACGATTCGCTCCTCCCACCGGACGCGCACGGAACGCACGTATAAAAGCGAATTCTCTCTTTCTCTCTTTCTCCCGCGCGCACGTCTTTTGCTTTACGCGCGCGGCACGCACATATTAAAAATGATCGAAGATTAAGCGGGGCCGAAGTCAAAAGTGAATTTATGCCCAGCGAATGTCATTACACCCGTGACACGCAACTCCGTACCTTTGTATCGCCCTCGAGAAGTAATTAAAAATATTGGTGATTAAGCGAAGAATTAATCGCCTCCTCAATATTACAGGGTCTTGACGTATGCGACGTATCTTTGTTACTTCGAGCCGCCAAGCGGCGCATCTCGATTAAGAGAGCGGGAACTATTGCATCTAACGCAGGCGCACGTAGGCGGCGTTAGACGCAATAGTTCCACATTAATGCGAAGAACTCGACTTACCGGGACTGCCGAGGAAGACGGACGAATAAAGAACGCCACGACGCGCGTCGCTCGCCGCGCGTTGCGCGTCAGGTGGCGAACTCCATTCTCTACGCGGACACCATTTGCCTGAAACACATTGAATTTTTTCTTTGTTAACATTAATACATCATGGAGTACTCTCAACTCCTCGGTCGCAACACACGCACACACAAACACATACACAGCTTCTCCACGTCGCTCTTCGCGACATCAGTGAACAGGTTTCCGAAAAGCGCGGTTACGTCACACTACGAATGAGCGTCGTGCATCGTGCGTCTTTAAAGAAAAGAAACGAACGTTAGGAAAGAGGACCGTGTCCATAAATCTCCGCTTTCCGACAAGTCAGAGTCGTTGACACGCTTTAAATATATTAAAGCGAAGAAAATATCGAGGAGAGTTAGCGGCTTGAATAATGAAAAATTCCTCAATGGATCTGTCCCGAGATAAAAGCCGTCGGCGGGTTACACGACGTCGCAATCAAAATACTGTAGGAAAATCGTGCCGATAACACGAAATAGCCTGTTCCCGTGTAAAAATAGATGTTCCCGTATCGATCCCAGCACGAAAGCGTTATTATGCGAGAGCGCCACGGAGAAAAAGTATGCAGAAAAGGTCGATGTGGAGGAAGCAAAAGATTCGTGATCGTCGGCGTCACGACTTCAACCAAGAGGGAGAGAGAGAGAGAGATTCTATCGCGCCACTCGGCTCTACACGTATGTCTAACTGTATGTGTACAGTATGTACATGCGCCGTTAGTGGTGCTTTCGTTCTTTTTCCGTCGGACAACATGCGACGCGTTACCTCTGCGCGATTTACTCCGCCACGAATAATCCTACAATTATGCTGATTATAATAATTACTTAAAAGTGCAAGAAAACCACTTAAGCTAAATCGCGTGGCATTCGGCCGACGATTACATTACCCAGCGTGATATTAATCAATGCCATCACGTAAGGCGATTGAACGGTAAACGTGGCGAATATAAGCGCAGCGGCCGTGCGCGTAGGACGTCGTCTCGGACGTCTTCCACCGTGCGGAAGATTCCGAGAGCAATTTAAAAACTGACATTTTATTAACGTATTTATTTGCAATATTGGACGCTGCATCGCCGCTTTGCCCGAATTTATTAGCTTAAAAGTACAATGCACCGAGTGAAAGAGTACGCGGTATGCCAACGTGAGAAATATTACTGATAAAATTCCACTCAGAATTAACGGAAGAATAGCAATCTATTGTCCGCGCGTGTTCGTGCAGCGTCGCGAATTCCGGAATTTCCACCCTCCAACTGATTTATCAAGCCGAGAGAGGAGAGGCGCCATACCACTCGCGGCTGCAGTATTGCAATTTTCCAGATGCGAAAATAGGAAAGGTATCTACTTTATTTCCAGGGAGATCCCAGCTGAATGAGGATACACGGTAAGAAAGGGTGGCGCCGGGGGATAAGAGTAAGCCGCGGAGCGAAGTAATTTCACACGAGAGAGTAGGGTCTTGCTGGGTGAGAGGAGATCCCGCGGAGCTATAGTCTTATCTCGGAAATATAGCGGGCACATCCCCCTGCGAAAATTATATTCTCGGAAAGCAGAAAATTGCTTCGCTTCAGCCCGTTCTGCACGAGCGCGCGGCGCACCGGTATTATTAGGTTCTCGCAACGATTTCCTTTTTTTTCTCCCATCGCGATCGCGTATCGCGTCGCGAAATACGATGGCCGAGGCGTTGATTTCGCAAATCGTGCGCGAGACTGAACTACTCCCGTGGACACCGCGGCGGCCGGTTAATCCCGAATATCATTTCGAAAGCCGCGTTCGATCGGGCGTAACCAACACGCGCGAGCGCCGAGCTAATGGATTTAAAAACGAATCCAACGATGCTGATTATAGTGGGCCGAGCGAGGCGCATTCAACTCTCTCTCTTTCTCTCTTTCTCTCTCTCTCTCTCTCTCGATGTTACGGTCACGATACGTCCCGTCAGTTTCTGGTTAAACGAAATGACAGGGCTGCGCCGGTGATTCGAAAATAATGGTTATTCCAGCGCTAGGGACAGCCGGGATCGCGTTAATGACAAGAGATTAGCGTTCCGACACCTGACCTGCGAGACGAATGAATTCTTCTTTATCGATATCGAGTATATGAATCGAAGCAACGAAGGAGGGGGGAGGTGCAGTGACGAGGTGTGCGCAAGATTCCTTCCGCTTCGGCGTGGAATATCATTCGTCGCCGTGGATCCTGTCTTTCCGCGCCGCGGATAAGTGAATAAACGATATATCCGGATTATTCGAAGTCATTTGCTCGCCTTGCCGACCCATTACGCACCGGTGGACCATACGTCACCGCCGTTCCGAAGTCCTCCGAGGCGCAGAGGACCTCGGGATACCTGTAGAATCCTAGGACGGAGGTGGGGCGGATGGATGGAGATTTATAGCCGCTAGGAGACAGGGTGTAATCATACACATCGCCCCGTCTCAACTCTGTAACTGTGATTTACCGTGGGAATTCTAAAAAGTTCTGGAATTTCCAGCGTATTCTCCGAATCGCGCGATACACGGCTAATATCGAATCTCGATGATATTCGGTGACACTCACGACGCGAACGTCTAACATTGCTTATGAAACGAACGCCTAACACCCTTCTTATTCGGACGAATGCGTGATATCAGCTCCGCGAGCCAGTAAAAAATTCTCCTCGATGTAACAGGTAACATCGATTGAGCCACGTGGAGAACACGTTCTCGGCGAATGAGTAATTAAAGAGGATCATATATAATGAATAAAATTTCTTTGCCGCGGGCTTCGAATTTGAATTTGTAATGCGCGACGGTCTTATACATATACCGCGAGCTCTTTTTTGTCCGTATCATATAATCGAACTTGTAAACAAATGTAGATTAAATTCGTGTCATAAATTATCCTGCACCGTGGGTCGCTCTTGAAACATCGATATCGTCGATTTCACGTCTGTAGAGCGAGCGTGGTAGTGTTTAGTAACGAGCCTGAGACGTTTCTCTTCGGGAGATTTGTTAAACGGCATCGAGTGAGACGTCCGCTTTGAATGATCACCGTGGCTAAATTGCGGGTTAACTTAGGTCTACGGGTTCGCGTGTTCGCGACAGTCATGCCACAGGGCCGAGTCATGTATCGGGCGAAACCAGAGGGGCAGGCGGAGGAGAAGGAGGAGCGCGATCGGTGGGAGGCGGATGGACCGTGATACGACGACCTCGTCATCTTCGCCAAATTCGTACGGCCACGCGCGACGCGAACTCCCGCTACGGTTTTATTTTTGCGCCCGACAGCAGCTGATGGTTATAAATTGGAATGTAATGCGCCTGGCACGCGACGGACGTCGCTCGTCTTTGTCTGCGTCGGCGGAGATCCTTCCATGACTAATTTGTTTCGACAAACAAAGCGAGTTCCTTGAACCGCGCGCGCGTCTCCGCCGCTTTCGACGGCCGCTGCTGCAGGGGTTGCTGTCGCGAGATCGCATTGTTGGCGAAAACACCGATTATCGTAGACTTGCCTTTGCCGGACGATTTTGCGCGATCGTCCTTTCGAGAGGTATCCCCCAGGTTGAAATGGAGAGAGACTCGAAGAGAGCGTCCTCTCGACGTCGCGGTATCCGAGCTCTGCCTACTACCACAGCTCGTGGCGGATGTTATAGATAGGATATAGGCACGTACCCAATAACCCCATCACGTCGGGGATGCTTCCTCGGTATAAATAAATCAATATAACTCGCTTCCACCCTTAGACGCCGCCCTCTTTCGCCGTAAGGAAGTGACGTATGAGGCTCGCATCCTCAAGGCGAGGGTTGAGGAGGCCACCCTGTTATTTCACAGTTAGGCTCGTCCTCTCGCTCTCCCCTTCGCTCCCTCAAGCATCCTCCTTCCTCGTCGTCTTCCACCATCCAGACCGACCTGTGCGTCCCTAGTGCCGCTTCCAAGCGCACACGAGTCCCACGGGAAGCTTTTGTCCTCGAGCTGTAAGCGACTTCCTGACAGGCCAAGTTTGCACCTGCTCTCCTTCTGGCTCGTCCGTGTCTCTCTCTCTCTCTCTCTCTTGCTTTCTATCCGGTATCTCTTTCGTTCGTTCGTTGTTTCGCGTCTCTCTCTCTCTCTCTCGCTCTCTTTCTCTTACTGTTTCCCCTTCGCGAGCTCCGCCTAACCTTACGTTGCTCTGTACCACCACCACCGCTACCACTTCTACCACACCACACCACCACCCACCGACGTTACCGGCACGTAATTTATTCGGGATGGGTATCCTCTCTCTCTCTCTCTTTCGCTCGCTCGCTCCCTCTTTCTCTCTCTATCTTCGTCCAAAGGTAATCCGTAGATCAGCACGCCGGATAAACCGGGCGTGTCGTTATATACGTTCGTCGAAATTATTTTCGAATAATCCCCGCCGTCGACACCTCGAACTCACTTATCTTAATTAAAATTACCCTCGCCCCTGGCGCGGGGCGAATCGGACCGCGTTTGCGCAATTTACGGTAATAATTGGCGGTAGACCAACTCGTTTAAGCGACAGCGTTTATGGCTCGCTCCTCTTTGCGAAAGACGCAAGGAAATTACTCGTTATAAGGACATTTACACGCGCTTATCATCTCGTGAGATGATGCAACGGTCGTTCGCTATGGTGAAAATATCAGCACACTCGTAAAATCTGAGATATTGTTCTGCAATTTCTAAAGACACTCCTCTGCGGCTTGAAGAATGGGTGAGCAAAGACGAGTCGGTGTTAAACTTTGAAAGATCGCTCATCGATTAAGATTCAATCGCAAAATAAGCGAGGGCGGCGTTCGAAAGACTGTCGGATGGTATCATAACGTCACTCGTGTATTTTCCATTTACGGGCAGAAACACCGTCTTTCTCCGCGGCGAGTAAAGGGCAACGGGGCGGAGGTTCGCATTCGCAGATGTCGGAGAGATGCCGGGTGATTAATGACGCCCGATAGATGTAATTTGTTGCTTGCGGACTCTCCGTCTGCGTGCGTCTTTCAAATTCAAATTATCGATAAACAGGAGGAGCCGTGCTCATAACAACCGATACGGGATGCTGTCAAATGTAGCGGGGACGACTTTACTACGCACTAAG